TCTGGTGGATGGTTTTAGGGATATAGGGTGTAATTAGGGATGTAGGAGTACAGGGCTTTCGTGGTTAAAAGCGGTTTAGGCCTCTAGAGTCTAGAGCAAACCATTCAATTTCGCTCCCTCTGTCTCGCTAATATAATCATAGTTCTTCACAATGTTTGTTCTCGCTCTAATTGTTTTTCTCCCGTACAAGTGGATGCAAGAAGACCTGGCTGGGAGAATACTGGAAAGTATGTTCTACCTGCAGATCCAAATTGAGCACGAGGCTTTTCCCGTAGCCCTTACGTGCACTTCTCAGCAAGTCGTCTACCCAAACCCGACCACCCATCTCTGGACTCCGAATCAGGCATCCTAAACTCTCTCCCTATGAGCTGGGAGGAACCTATGACAATTCCATCTACAGCTACAGCGTCCAGGTCGGATCATGGTTTCGTGGTGCTTCGAGTTTAGATGCGAAGTACGTCTGCAGATTTCGGGCTTCAGTGAGTTTGGGCTGCCATGGAGGCAGAAATTCCGCCAAACTTCACCCTAAACTTTACACCCTAAACCCTATACCCCAAACTCTAAAGCCTAAGCCTTCTCTAAGCCGTAGTTGGCTAGAATCGAGATGTGATTGTTACAAGGGGACCTTTTGCAATCAGAGCCCTGACTAGACCGCAGCCTTCCTTTGCAGGCACCTGCTTTACGGTTGATGATGCAAATCCTGCATTACCCATACCATAATTCTCATAGTTTAGGGTCTTTAAGGTAATGCAGGATTTATATGATCAACAGTATCATATTTCTGCGAAGCAAACCCTAAACCCTGAACACAAGAAGTCATGGGGCGTGTTCTGCAGCTTTCATGCACGGCTAGCCTGCAGTCGTAATCCCTGCAAGTCCATTGGCATCAGAAAATTACTGTTGATGATATAAATCCTGCACTACTTCAAGGACCCTCAACTATGGGAATTATGGTCTATTCCTTATTGTGGTAATGCAGGATCTATATCATCAACCGTAGGGGTAGACTCGGGCAGACTTCCAGGGAAGTTAGAATGAGGAGTGCGTGAGCTCCCGGAAATCACAATCGTTGGGGCAATTTGGGCTGACCGTTGCATTAGGCACCACGAACAAGATGGAAGCAACTTAGGCGGCTACACAACAACGGCTTTGGTTCATGGGATTTTGTTTCTCTGGCTGCCGACGGCTTGACTTTTAAAGTCCAAACTCACACCATCACACCTTTGCAACAGCTTATATGCCCTCTCTAAAGCTTGATAACACCCTGTGAAGCCGTATGCAACCTTATGAAACCTACCCTAAACCACTAAACCCTAAACCCTGAACCCCTAGACCCTAAGCCCTGAGCCCGAAACCCTATACCCCTATCCCCCTCAACCCTAAAGCCAGCCTAAACCCATAAACCCTAAACCCTAAGCCCCTAAACCCTAAACCCTAAGCTTAAGACCCTAAAACCCCACACTAAAAAAAACAAAACCCTAAACTGGCAAACTGCAAGACCCCTGAGTTTCTGCACCGCAGACCAATGCTTGGACCCAAGTCACTCCGACCGGCATTGTTCCGGAAAACCTTGTCGGCCACACCACTCATCTGCGCCTGCGTTGCAAGCTTTTAGGGTCTAGGGGTTTAGGGGTTTAGGGGTTTAGGGATGCTTGTGGGGTTGAGGGCTTCGGGATTGAAGCTATACCCCAAGGATTCTATCTACTGTAGGAACCTGATTAAGAAACCCTGGGTCTTTATGAGGGTTCTGAATATGAACCCTAATATTTTGGGGTTCTAGGGCCAGGGTTCCTTAATCAGGTTCCTACATCACTCCTTATAGAGGAAGAGATGAAGGACCTCAAACGTTAAAGGGCTCCCTACTCTGATTCGGTGGGGTTTAGGGTTTAGGGTTTTTTGAGGTTAGACTGGGTTTTTTTTTGTTTGCGGGGGGGTGTTGTATATGAAGTAGCTACATGGGCCAGTTTAGTGGGACTGTAAGGGGATGGTAGTACGAATTACTCAGCTGCTTCGATGATTCTTTTGAGGGGAAACTGGGCTCGGTGCGAGCTTGCGACTTTAAGCGGATTTTTTAGGGTTTGCTCAGGGCTTCCACGGATTAGGGCTTTTGGTGCCATTCGGGATAGGATGCCCTAAACCCTAAACCCTAGACCCTAGACCCTAGACCCTAGCCCTAAACCCTAAACCCTAAGCCCTTCGGGATAGGATGCCCCGTGTTAGCCTCTAGCAGAACAGTTTGTCGGGACTAGTTCCGGGGATGTCAGGGTTCATGGCTTTCGGGGGTTTCAGGGACGTCCGTTTTAGGTTTCGCAAATTCGTAGACTTATAAGTACCCGAAAAAGGGCCCTAATTGGGGTTAGGATACTAACTAGGTTCCCCAGTAGTACCCTTTTGCCCTTTTTTTCGGGTTCCCTTATTCAAACTTAAACAGTAGGAAAAAGGGTACCCTTATTATTAACGGGCTACTGGGGAACCTAGCTAATAAGTCTACAGAATACCTTCTGGCGCAGGGCGACCAGGGGGCCAGGCTTTCAGGGTTTAGGGAGCGGCTCAATGTTCAAGGGTTTGGAGTTTTTCTTTGGCGGATGTTGATCGAGTCATGACGGCGCACTTACAAATTCAAGAGAAGGGTTTAGAGTTTAGGGTTTTTAAAACACCTTCAAACCCGAAACTCCGAACGCTGCATCCTAAACCACCCCAAGTTGCTGACATGAGCCCCCTCCCCGAGCCATCCGCGGGGCCCCTAAAACACCAGGGCCCCGATCCCCTCCCTGAACACAAAGCCCAACATATACTGGTTTTAACGGCTTCGGGTTTAGCTTTTTTCGATGGGTTGGAAAGGACATCCTAAAGCCTAAACCCTAAACCTTCAACCCTAAACCCTAAACCCGGAGCTATAGAAATTCTGGGCACCAGTATGAGAAGGCTCCTTTTTGAGGCCCATGGGTCCGAGAACTTGGGAGTTGGAATTCCTGTAAGGCCGTCTCTACGGGGGCCTCGAGGGGGGCTTTTTAGAGTCTATAGGTTTCCCTGAAAGGGTTCAGGGTTTAGGGCTCAGAGTAGAGGGGTTAAGGGTTTAGGGTTTCAGGGCTTAGGGTTAGGGTTTAGGGCGTAGGGCTTGGGGCGTAGATGGGAGCTTCAGAAGCGAAGGGGGCCGTGGCATAAAACCCTAAGTAGTAGGATCTTGATTTAATATGAAGAGCCCTACCACAACGCTCCTCTAATCTTCAGTGTTTGTTGCTTTTAACCCTATCCCTAAGACACCCGAAGCAGGGCCTCAGCTCTTGCTTTGGGGTTTTGTATTTAGGGTTTGGGGTTTGGGGTGTTAGGGTTTAGGGCTTAGGGCTTAGGGGTTTAAGCTCCTTCTTTCTGGAAGGTCTCAAAGCCTTAATCCCCCCCAAACCCCAAGCAAAGCTGATTCCCACTTCCAGGGTCCAGGACTGCGTGTACGTCTATGGCGGATTCAATGCTTCGGGGTGCCTCGACGGTGAGTTTTGCATGGCTTTCTGGGGCTTCGAAGCTGGTGGTCGAGATTTGGGGCAGGGAAGCCACCAGTTTAGGTTTTAAGGTTTAGGGTTCAGGGTTTAGGGGTTAGGGTTTAGGGTTTAGTGTTCAGGGGGTTGAGCGGTTTCTTCTGGTTTGGGGTTTAGGGATTGGGTACATGCATCCACTGCCTCGTGTGAACTTAGATTGCCACGTGCCCATGTGCTTTATCTTTGTACTTTTGCCGTCGGCTCGGCTTGGCTTTGGCTGGCTTAATATGTGGGCGGTCTTGGGGTGGGCAGTTCTTTGTGCTACTGCGCGCTTACCAGCACTGCCGAAACCCTAAAGCCCCACACCCTGAAATCCTAAACCGTAAGCCCTAAACCCTAAACCCTAAACCCTAAACCCTGAAACTCTAAACCCTGAAGCCCTAAACACTAAAGCCCTACACACCACACTTCATGCTTGAGGCTTAGGGCTTCGAGTGGTTGAGGGCTTGGGGCTGAATGGCAAGCAATTGTGGATCTTGACCCTATATATACATGTATATATATATAGATACATACATATATATTTTTATTTATATCTATATTTATATCTATATTTATATTGTTATTTATGTTGTTATTACATGCCCACATAAATATGCACACATCATATATGTATGCGATTATGTATGATCATGTATGCTTGTATGCTTGTGTTAGCGGGAATGAACGAATGAGGGGTGGATGGATGACTGAATGAATGCCTTTGTGTCTGTATTTCTGTATGCCGGTATGTCTCTGTATGCATACATGCATGCGTGCACTATCTATCTATCTATCTATCTAGCTCTCGCACTTTCTTTCTATCTATCTGTCTATCTATCTAGCCATCTAAACCATCCAGCCAGCCATCTATCTGACCTATCTATCTATCTATCTACCTATCTACCTATCTGTTTGTCTATCTATCTGTCCATGCAGCCATCCTGTCTATCTGCCTATCTATCTATCTATCTATCTAGCTATCTATCTATCTATCTATCTATCTCTCTCTCTCTCTCTCTCTCTATCTATCTATCTATCTATCTATTTGCCTATCAACTTTATCTCTCTATTTATATCTCTCTCTATCTATCTCTATCTATCTCTGTCTATCTCTATCTATCCACCTCTATCTGTCTCTACATCTATCTCTATCTGTATGATTGTAGTGTCTATCTATTTTTATCTATCTCTATCTGTCTATCTACCTATCTGTCTGTCTGTTTATCCATCTATCCATCTATCTATCTATCTGTATCTATCTACCTATCTATCTCACTACCTATCTATCTAACTATCTATCTATCTATCTAGCTATCTATCTTGCTAGCTATCTATCTAACTATGTGTCTACCTAGCTACCTATCTATCTACCTATGTGTCTACCTATCTATCTCTTTATCTACTACCCACCTATCTATTTATCTATCTAGCGAAAGTTGCACCTGTGTTGCGGATGACGTCCACAGCGTAGATGCTGTTTCTCAGGAGGAAGTAATCGACCTGCCACTCCTCTGCACTTCAGCCCTCGCCAGCTTACCCTTTTGCAGAATCTGGCGTGCAATGCGCTTGGGTTGGAATTGTGATTGCTGAGCAACCGCTGAGGCTTCAGGCCTGGGCAAAGCGAGCTTTCGGCAGCGACAGCGACGAGATTCTGCGAGGCGCAGCGCCAGGCTCACTGTCGGCTGACTTGACGTGGCCCGAGAAACTGTTGTGTCAGGCGATCGGCGGATCGTCCTGGTCCTGGACGGCCTGGACGAAGCCGCCATGGCGAGGCGACGGATAATCGATTGGCTCGAGCAGTGGCTGCAGCTCTTTGGCCAGCAATTTTTCATTGAATTGTTAGAGCACGCACGCTGCTTGTTGTCAACGCTCCGGCCCAGGGCAAACGGCCACCGATGCATCTGCACCATCATCGCCTCTCGGCCGTCCGGGACCAACCAGCCCGGATCCCAGCACGCCTTTGGAAGGCCTAAGGATTCGGAACTTTCATCAGAGCTGCTCTCGATTCTGGGCTGAGGGTGCTGGCCAGCGATGGCAGCGCTCGCGAGCCGGCGACATCCGTGGTGCTCTGCCAGTTCTCCGAGACGTCGCTGCTGACCCAGGCAGGCCGGCAGCTTTGGACACACCCCGCGCTTTCGCGTCTTGAGCTGAAGCATCGCAGGAGCCGCTTCCGGTCTCCTCCCACGTTCGGCTGAACGACGGCACTGGGCAGAGCCTGGGAGCTGGCACCGTCCTCTCCTGCGACAAGGCGCAGCGGGCACAGTGGAGAAAGCCCGCTCCCGAGAGTCGTCGGCAGAGAGCTCTTTGGCACTGGCCAGGAATTTCTGCTGCAGAAGGAGGAAGTGAACGGCCTGGAGCCCGGGGTGCACTCCCTGAAGGTGCGCCGCAAGGCCCACGCGCACACCTTGCAAAATTCGAGCTGTAGCTTTTGAGAAGCCGTCATGCGACAGTCGTGGCTGCCCAACAGGATCCGAAGATTGTCTTCTCCGCCGTGGTGTCGGTGGACTACGCCGACCGCTCCAGTGCCCAGCTGATCCTGGAGCGGGCCTGCAGAACCGCCGGTGGCGATCCGAAGAAGCATCATTGGGTGTTTGTGCGCTGGGCCGACGGCGAAGTCTGGGAGGACCGAGAGGGCGCCCGCTCCCTGGGCTGGGAGCGTCGGGGCGTTGTCGTGCGACTTGCGAGGACTCCAAGCCCATCCTCTACGACCATATGCTGACGTGGCCCACGGGCGCCTTTCCCTGCCGTGCCATCCTGAAGACCGACGAAGACGCACCCGACCGCAAAGTCGAAGACGTGCAAGTGTGCAGGTCTCAGATCGAGTGCGCTCAGCCTCGAATTGTTTTCTCAAGATCAGCGACAAACAGCGACAAACTAGGAGCCTCCGTAAGACGTCGGCCGGGATCTTGCTGGTGGGAGACTTGGAGCCAGGCCAGGCCGCTTGCTCTCTCTCTCTCTCTCTCTCTCTCTCTCTCTCTCTTATAAGCGCGGCTCTCTTGCTGCTTGTTTCGAGGCGATGTGGTCGAGCTCGGGAGCGATGGGCCACAGAGAGAACTCCTGCCTCTCGACCGCCTCTCGGCGAAAACTTGGACCGTGTTTCTGCCGTCGCATGCATCTGCGCGCAGATGTGCAGACTCTCAGGTTGCTTCCGGGTGGTCCTGAACGCGGAGGTCCCACGCTGCCCAGCGAGTCTGGCCGAGATGACGGTGCAGGATGAGCTGTCCCTGCAGCCCTGGCCTTGGCTGTCGTGGAGCGCGATCTTCGGAGAGCTTCGGCCCGGGGCCTTCCATGCCGTGCACAAGGCTGGGCTTCGCCCCGCTGGAGATCCTGCCGCTCTGTGCTCCCGTGGCCTCGAGGCCCCCGAACTCGGCGAGGTGGCCGGAAATCTTCGAAGCACGTGGTCCTCGTTTTGCAGGATCTCGAAGTTCGGCGAGGAGGAGCTGCGAGCACTCCCCGAAGCGGCCCCTCGACTCAGCAGATCGTCAGGAATGTGATGTCATGCGCACGCAGCGGGCCGCAATTTATCGCCGTCTCATTTCTTGCGTGCCACCACAAAGGTTTTCCCAGATTTTTCCAGTGCAGGTTTGGCGGACGCCCCTGATGGCCAGCATCCTGGGTCCCGCCCCCATTCAGCTGCGCAGGGTCTTGAGCAGGGCGCAGAGGGGGCGCGGAGGCTTCTAGATTCTACACGTTGATTTTTAAATGTAACATCCATGCTACGAGAAGACAGTGACGCAAGCCCGGCAGAGGCACATATCCTCGGGGCCAGAAGGACCGAAGCATCAACTGCATCTGCTCTCTGGCTTCTGGTTCCCTGCCTCTCCCTTTCCCGCCCTTGCAGACAGAGAGTAGAATCAGATGAATCAGTATGCACATCACGATGCTGACTGCAGGAGGAAGATCTCGACGGCGCCACGGCAGAGCTGGTGCTGATGGAGCACGCGGTTGCAACGCTGCTGAAGCAGGCGAGTCCATGTAACGGTACAGACTCGTGCGAATCTGTCGCAACCAGACGTTATGTCTGGATTGGTGCAAGTCTGATAAGTCTGCGGCAGAGCCAGGCAGAGGAGCGGGCCGGCTGCAAGGGGCTGCGAGCAGAGCTGGGCCCGCTGTGCTTGGCCAAGCTCCAGGCAACTCGCCCGGGCACCCGCAAAGAACTTTTCAGGAAACCGCTCATGCTCTCGCTGCAGGCGGGCCAGCGGCTGCTGTGGGAGTCGGACTTCACCAGCAAGGCAGGAACTGCACGAACGCCCATCTGTGGTTTGCTGCGGTCGCAACTGGAACCCGTCATGCATGCCAGCTGACACGGTTTATAACAGTGCTGTCTCGCTGACGCCCTGTTTTTGCATCCAGGTGATCTTCCAGGAAGCGCAGCTCGGGCACTTGAGATTCTTCGAGCCGGCTGGTCAAGCGGTGGCGCAAACCGTGCTTGGAGATTCATCGGGTCAGAAGTTCGAAATGGTTCACACCCTTTGCCAGGTGCAGCTGTACCACCTGCGAATGCAGGAGTTCCTGGCGGCAGAGGTGCTACGCGGAGTGCCCGTGAGCGCCATTGCTATTGCTATTCTCGGTAGACCTTGTGATTGTGCGAGTGATTCTCCAAGAAAAACGGGCCGCGGCTGACAGGCCCGGTTGGCGGGTGCCCAGGCGCCGGCCTGGAGAGAAGCCTTCGCCGAAGCGCAGCAGCAGCCGATGCTGCGAGGCCTGCACATCCACAGTCGCATTTTTGCAAGATCTGCGTGGTCACAGTGATCGAAGACACAGAGAGAGAATGCATGGCTTCAGCTCCGGTCTCCCACAGGTGCCCTCCGCTTCTGTCTGATGATGCAGACGGCCCACGCGGCGGAGGCGGAGATCGACCTTGGAAGAACGGCGTTGGTCGCCGCGGACGCGGAGGCTTTCCAAGGACTTCTTTTGCATAGTAGGCGAGAATACGAGCTGCCTGTGCCGTGGTCGCCGCGCGAGTCGGCTTCTTTCCGGAGGAGCCCTGCTTTGCACCGAGAAGCTGGCGCTCAACTTGGGTGGGAGCCGCCTGGGTGAGGGACCCGGACTGCGCGGGGTCGGATTTGTAGTCATATAATTGAAACATACGGACCAAATTTGTGAGGTGGCAGAGGCGGTGTAAAGCCCGACCAGCCAAATGAATCCATTTCACCGGGGTTTGACAGCTGCTGGCCTAGCTGACTCAATCTCGAGGGTCCAGCAGTTATCTGATTTCGTATGTTTCATTGAAGGATTCCGGGAGCTTCTGCTCCAGTGGTTTCAGTGCGAGGCCCCGAGGGCACCAGCAGCCTGTCCTCTGCGCTGCCCAAACGGCTCCGACAGCTGCGGCTGGACCTGCGTGGGAACAGCATCGGCAGGGGATCCCAGCAGGGTTCCTCGGATGGCCAGGAAGGTTCCTCCCGCCGTGCAAGAGCTTGAGCAGCTTTTCGTTGATTCCTGTGAGACTTCGTGGGCCAAACGTCTATTGCCCGCAACACAGCTTCGATCCAAAGAAACGGCTCCCCCGCAAAAAAAGCCATGTGCTTTTGCAACTGTCCGCTGTTGCGACCCTCTACGCCATTACAGAGCATTGCATAGGATCTCGTGTGCCTGGCTTCAGCCAAAACAATTCGTGAAGATTCACAGGATTTCACAGGCGTCCAAGGCTTCAACACTCTCCCGTTGGGAAGTGCATGTCCTTCGTATTCGGGGCCCAACTTTGTTTCTTTCCTGTGAGAGTTGGAAGGTCCTGCCCGCCACACAGCTCCGATCCAAAGCAACGGCTCCCCTGAAAAAAGAGCTTATGTGAATCCTCTTTTGCGACTGTCTACTGTTGCGACCTTCAAGGCTTCATCGTCTGTAGCAGAGTCAGTAGGGGCGGGGGCGGGGGGGTGGGGCAGTCGGATTGCATCACCAGGGTTCGGAGGCTCCGAGGAGCGGAGGTCACGGGATGTTCGCTGTAGCTATACCCCGCATGTTTAAGGACCGTAACTTATGAGAGTGCTTATGATGTTAGCTTCGCACTCTCTCATCGTTTATGCTCCCAGGAATATCAACTTCTTCCACGGAGACTCCGGGAAAGACAGAGAGAGAGCGGGAGTGAGAGATGCAGACACGGAGATATTGGTTGCCATGCGCAGCCAAGCGCTGATGCTGCAAGCTGCCTCTTCCCACAGCACTTGCGAAAAGACATTCAGCAAGTCTGCAACTTTTCGGGGAGATGCTGATCCCACACCCAGTGCAGCCGTGGCCGCTTGTAGATGGTGCACCCTGGGAACCCCCAAAACAAAGTTCATGCCCACAACCCAAAGCCACAATCAAGCATATACAGTAGCAGCAGATGAGTTGGGAGGCAAGGGCAAAGTGTCGACCCTGCAAAACGCAGGCACGAATTCGTAGGTGCCCCGTCTCCGTGCCCGAAGCACAGGGTTGATTCAAAGAAGCTGCTTGGTTCGAGACATCTTCTTATACCTTCCGGATCTCTGCTTCCCTGAGGTCTCTGCCGCAGATATCAATTTGTTCGGAGTCCCTGCATAATGGAGTCTGGCAAAACTTCGGTGCAGAGCGGTCTCGCCCGAGGCGTGGAGGGCGGCCGCGCCCTGGCTGCCGCCGTGGCCAAGCTCCCGCTCCAAGAGCTGCTGCTGATCCTGGAAGGGAACGAGCTCGGCCCGGGCCTTGGAGAGGAAAAGGCCCAGGGCCGGGGCCTCGGAGCTCCGAGAGCGGGGAGGCTCGGAGCCGGATTTCTGCTTCCGGTTGCGCCCACCAGCTACACACCCCCAAACCTCGAAGAACCGTGCGCCGTGAGAACTGCATCCCGCTCTGCAGGTGAACGGTCCCGAACCCTTGAGAATTCACCTTTCTGTCAGTCTGCAGGTGGCAACCATCTGTAGCGGAGTCGAGCCCATGAATTTCCCTCCATTTTAGCACTCCTGCGAGACGAGACGCACTGAATGATGATGCAGCCTGGCACCCGAGGCGATAACGGGGCCCGGGCCATGGCCGCGGCCGTCGGAGAGCTGCCCCAGCTCCAGAAGCTGGAGCTGAAGCTGGGACTCAACTCGCTGAGCCCGGGGCCCCAAACTGCAGCAAACCGCGGCTGGTTCAAAGCACCCTCCAGGTTTCCCCCAACAGCTTCCCGAAAAACTCGAAGAACCGTGAGAACTGCATCCAACTCTGCAGGTGAATGTTTTCGAACCCTTGAGAGTTCATCTTTCCCTCAGTGTGCAGGTGGTAACCATCTGTAATTCGTGGAGTGGAGCCGATGAATAATGAATCCCCCTCTATTTCAGCACTCTGCAAGACGAGACGCTCTGAATGATGATGCAGCCTGGCTCCCGAGGCGATGACGGGGCCCGGGCCGTGGCAGCGGCCGTCGGCCAGCTGGCCCAGCTCCAGAAGCTGGGGGTGTGGCTGGGACACAACTCGCTGAGCCCGGAGCCCCAAATTGCAGCAAACGGCCGGCTGGTTCAAAGCCACCCTCCACCGGCCCAGGCGAGGAAGTGGAGGTGGAGCTCGAGGGCCAGCTGCAGGCGCTGCCCATCCCGGAGAAGGAGATCCACATCTAAAGGCGGCCGCCGAGGCCTCCGGCTTCTTGCGTGCTTCGGGGGCCTTGGAGTTTCGGTCTCTTCCTTGGCGGTTGTTTGGGAGCACGGTCTGACCCTTGGGAGGCCCAGGCCTGAGGAGCCCCAAGCCTTAAACCCTAAGCCTCAAGCCCTAATTAAAGCCTTAAGGCCGTAAGCCCAAAGCCCTGAGCCCTCAAGCAAGCCCTAATTCCGAAGCCCTGAGCCCTACAGCCTTAAACCCTAAAGCCTTGCCCTATCAAGCCCTTACAAGCCCTGAGCCCTTAACCCCTAAGGCCTAAAGCCTTGGTACTTTCGGTTTAGTACTGCTGTATTCCTGGTTCTATTAAAGCTTACACCTAGGCCCCCCCCTAATGTTTCTAATTATCTTTCGATTGTGGGCCCGAAACCGCGAAATTCCGGCGGCCGGGAGTTTTTATACTAGGGGAGGGTTTAGTATCAGGGGCAAGGGATTTGTTGTAGGTTCTATATGCCTGTGATCTGTCAAGTCGGGCAGTTGGGGTGCCTACACAAGCCAAGTCTGCACACGTATCTGTAATTGGCTCTGATGGTGGCCAGATGCATGCACTGGCTGAGACGTTTCCAAGGATACAGTGTAACCACTGAATTGCGTGGACAGCACATGCCTTGTCATTGAATTCGAGCGATAGAGGGATCCCCGACGTCTCGACAGTGCGGGGCCTGCCTGTTGCAAGGCGTGCTGAACGTTCGCATCCAAGCGCTTGACTAAGTTGAACGAAAGTTTCTCCAGGGCTGCCCTGTCACTTTGGCATCTCCCCCTCTCCCACGGAGTGAGAGCTCCGGAATCGACAATAGAAAACCTTTGTCGCTCCCTGTATCACTCGGAGGAGGAATCTTCGTAAACCATTTGGGATCTTGGATCTTACAGGTCATGCAGAGAGGTCCACGGCAGAACAAGGTATTTGCGCCAATTCCAGGGATGTCTACAGGAAATGCTCAAGACCCTGAAGCTGCCAATGGCACCAGAGGAAGCGGCATCTCCAGAAACGTGGTAAATGTATGTAAGTATCGTACCATCAAGATACACCCCCGCTCCAATATCAGGCGGAACACCTGCAGCAATTGTTGTCGAGTAGTCTGTATAAACACCAGGAAGCTTCGCACCCTCCAGAAGATGCTCAGGATCCCATTACAATTGCCCATAGACCGGCCCTCCAGAAGCATTTCCCGAACAACAGGACGTCTCATAGTTGGCAGGTTGAAGTTGTAGACTAGACGACTACGAATTAATGAACTCGTAAGCACGGGCAAGCTTTCCATGGCACGAAATGGGATGGAACAAGTATGTTCTGCATGTTGGGATCATTGAAACCAGGTCGCATGTGCTTTCACGCTGTTCTGTCGGGCTTGCTGCACTCTCCTTCTCCTTCGGAGCGTCTCAAGACAAAGTCTTGAGGCAAAAGCTCGCTTTTTGCAGAGGTAAGGAACACATTGCATGCGACGCTGGAGTTTGCAAGATCATGCTGCATTCTTGCAACTCAAAGGGCTACTGAAGTAACCCCCGCGGGGATTCTGCGGTCCTGTATGATCGGTTGCCATGCAGAACTGCATGAAGCACTGGTCGTGATCGCAGGTCCTGATGCACAGGCACTTGCAAAGAGGATCCGCCAGGAAAGATTTGGTGCCCAGACTTGTCGTTATGAATGCAAGCACGAAGACAACGAGATCCAATTTGTTAGCTACCGCAGGTTTGGCAAATTTTCGTAGCACGGCCGCGAACCTTTTGACGAAATGCGCAAGAGAATGAAAATCAAGAGCTATAGCAGCAGTCATTGCTATGCTAAGGTGATCTGAAGAAAAGACGTTTGCCTGTGGCCCCGATGGCGTCAGACATTCCGTATATCATGGCGCATGATGGGATGGAACAAGTATGTTCTGCATGTTGGGATCATTGGAACCGGGTCTCATGTGCTTTCACGCTGTTCTGTCGGGCTTGCTGCACTATCCTTCTCCGTCGGAACGTCTCAAGACAAAGTCTTGAGGCAAAAGCTCGCTTTGTGCAGAGGTAGGGAACACATTGCATGCGACGTTGGAGTTTGCAAGATCATGCTGCATTCTTGCAACTCAAAGGGCTACTGAAGTAACCCCCGCGGGGATTCTGCGGTCCTGTATGATCGGTTGCCATGCAGAACTGCATGAAGCACTGGTCGTGATCGCAGGTCCTGATGCACAGGCACTTGCAAAGAGGATCCGCCAGGAAAGATTTGGTGCCCAGACTTGTCGTTATGAATGCAAGCACGAAGACCACGAGATCCAATTTGCTAGCTACCGCAGGTTTGGCAAAATTTCGTAGCACGGCCGCGAACCTTTTGACGAAACGCGCAAGAGAATGAAAATCAAGAGCTATAGCAGCAGTCATTGCTATCCTAAGGTGATCTGAAGAAAAGACGTATGTTGGAGCGGGGTTGTGAGTGGATGCTTGATGGACTTTGCGCAAGCCCATGGCCCATGAAGATCCAACGCACCATGTTAGTGCCGATGGTTGTTTCAACTGTCTGTGTGTTTCGCTTTGTGACAGCATGGTAATTGTCGGGCTGCATCCATGGACTATTCACATATCCTTCGGAATCAAGTTCCAGTTGTTGGTTGGTAGGACTAGGGCGGACGTATGTCTAGTTTAGATGAGCACTTGTCGGATTATTTGAAACGATGCCTTTTCGCTTCATGCTTGGCGATGGTCCACTGTGGCTCCAAATGGTCAAGGCCGTGCTTGCACGCAGGCCAGTTCACTTTAGGGCCGGGGGCTCAAAAGGACCGGCTGTGGAGTTCACTTCCTATCAAATACTGAATTTGAGCCGAGCACTGAGTTGGGATACAGCATGTGCTTGAAGCGCGTGC